AAGAAGAAGAAGAAGAAGAAGAAGAAGAAGAAGAAGAAGAAGAAGAGGAAGAAGAAGAGGGAGGAGGAGGAGGGAGGAGGAGGAGGAAGGAGGAGGAGGAAGGAGGAGGAGGAAGGAGGAGGAAGGAGGAGGAAGAAGGAGGAAGAAGGAAGAAGAAGGAAGAAGAAGAAGAAGAAGGGACGAGGTATGCCGGCGGTAGGGTATGACGAAAAGGACCTGTTGAATAACCGACAAGAAGAAGAAGAAGAAGAAGATGCAGGGGAGGAGGGGAGAAGAAGAAGCAGAAGAAGATGAGCGGAGGAAGAGGAGGAGAGAAAAAGAAGAAGAAGAAGAAGATGAGAGGGGGATGAGGAGGATGAGAGAAGAAGCAGAAGAAAATGAGCGGAAGAGAAGAAGAAGAAGAAGAAGAAGAAGAAGAAGAAGAAGAAGAAGAAGAAGAAGAAGAAGAAGAAGAAGAAGAAGAAGAAGAAAAGGAGAACAGGAAGAATAAGGAGAACAGGAAGAAGGAGAAGAAGAAGAAGAAGAAGAAGAAGAAGAAGAAGAAGAAGAAGAAGAAGAAGAAGAAGAAAAGGAGAACAGGAAGAAGAAGGAGAACAGGAAGAAGAAGAAGAAGAAGAAGAAGAAGAAGAAGAAGAAGAAGAAGAAGAAGTTCGTCGGGGCCTTCGTCGTCACCTGCTACAGAAACCCTAGCAGCAGGGCCTTCGTCGTCGCGTCCTACACAAACCCTAAATGACTCCGACAAGAAGAAGAAGAAGAAGAAGTTCGTCGGGGCCTTCGTCATCACCTGCTACAGAAACCCTNCGTCGCGTCCTACACAAACCCTAAATGACTCCGACAAGAAGAAGAAGAAGAAGAAGTTCGTCGGGGCCTTCGTCATCACCTGCTACAGAAACCCTAGCAGCAGGGCCTTCGCCGTCGCGTCCTACACAAACCCTAAATGACTCCGACAAGAAGAAGAAGAAGAAGAAGAAGAAGAAGAAGAAGAAGAAGAAGAAGAAGAAGAAGAAGAAGAAGAAGAACGGCGCCTTTGTCGTCAGGGCCTTCATCGTAGCAGCAGGACAGTCAGGGCCTTCGTCGTACCAGCAGCAGCAGGACAGTCAGGGCCTTCGTCGTACCAGCAGCAGCAGGACAGTCGATAGCGATGGCCACGGACGACGGGCGACGGCGCACCAGGACGGCGCTGCAGCAGGTCGGCACCAACTCCGATCGTGCTGGGGGCCGAGTGGCAGACCACCCCAGCCGATCGGAGGTTCGAACAGGGGGAAAGGTTGGTGCCAAGATCCGCCGGCTCTGTGGCCGTCGATCATGGTGGATCGACGGCCACAGAGCCAGCGGGAATTTCAAAACAAAAAGCAGGCCTACCGCTCCCGACGCAATGGTTTCTTGGGCCGGTTGGACCCGGTAGGCCTGCGGGAGGCCAAAACCAGCCAAAAAGGGGTCCGAACCCCCCCGACAGGTAAGTGTGCTGGGGGGGCCCGGCCCCCAACCGGGTGCCCAGCCCGGCCAGGCCGTCCGGGACCTACCCCGGGCCCCTGCCGGTCACCCGGGCGGCCCGGATCCCCACTCAGCTAGGGAATGCATTAAAAAATGCAGAATTTGATTTGTCAATGGACTCAGCCTTGCTGAGGTACTTGGAAATATTTTAGGCAGCAAGGGAAGAACTGGCACTGTGCAGACAATGGGAGTTAAAAGGGCTACAAATCCGAGGCAAAATGATGCACCACGAGCTTAACGAGTCCATGTCAAAACATTCCTTCGCAAGGATAGCCAAAATGATGGACCACGAGCTTAAACCACCAGTTCAAGGGCCCAGCCTTGCTGAAAAGAAGCTTGTCGCCTACTCTGAAAAGTTCAGGGCTGGCGCAACCACTTCCATTAGCATGGCCCCTGAAACAAGGATGCCACGCATAAAATGCCATAAATCGAGAAATGGTTCAGATTTTCATCTGAAGGTCATGCGTTCAAACCTCACCCCTCCCACCAAAAAAAAGGATCATTCGTGCAAGACAAGAAATGAAAGCACTGCAAATGAAATAGTTATCAAAGTGAGACTGCTAGGCTCTCCCCCCACACGCCCCGCCACCCCTGGGATCCTTCTGCTGCATGTCTGGGTGCTGCTAGTAAGCTTCCCGGCCAGCTGAAGCACCACAGGGGAGGATCTGGTTTGGGGGGTGGGATGGCCTGTAGCAGTCCCCCCCTGACTTGTACTGCAAGGGCTTGGCTGATTTCTATCCCTGCAACTATCTTGCTTGAACTCATGCCTGCCGGTGATAAGCAACCGGACTGATGGCCCCCAGAATGGATGGGGGAACTATCTTGCTTGAACTCATGCTTGCCGGTGGGTGATAAGCAACCGGACTGATGCCCCCCAGAATGGACGGGGCTTTCGGTGTAAAAAAGAAAAAGAAAAAGAAAAAGAAAAAAGTAGTTATCGAATTAGTAAATTACCCATCAAGTTCTGAGATGGTCTACAGACTCTACGCTATCCAGATTCGTCAATAGACAACTTCCAATGCTCCCTCTCCACGGTGGGAGAAACCACAATTACCAGAAGAGAGAGGGAGAGTGAGGAAGCAGGACTACCACCATGTTACTAGGCATTTCCATCCACAATTCTAAGTGCTCAACCGACAGACTTGACAGACTCTCTAGCCGAGTCTGAGTGAAAAAATGGGAAGGAAAGGTAAGCTGACCGACAATCGTCTACCTAGCGGAGAAATCAATGCTGATCAGAGGTCCTTCGGCCTAACAGAAGCATATGAGTATGTGTAGTAGTCATCGTGTACCTCTAAACGGATGTTATATTCTTATGACTTGCCAAGGGGAAAGTAACTAGATTGACACACCGAGTCGCCGTGTGCTACTGTATGAATGTTGCATTCTTATGACTTGCCAGGGGAAAAGTAACTGGATTGACGCACCGCAGGATGGATGTGGAGCCAGGACCATATTAAGGACGTGT